CGGGCCCGGGCAGGGATCCCCACGAGGGTTTTCATTCCCCGTCCAAATCAGAGCCCCGGGTGTCCCTCGGGAGTCGCTTCCCTCCGCCATCGGCACCAGCAGCTGCTCTGACCACTGACACTCAGCTCTGGCCGTGCTTTGACTCCTCGCCCCTTAAACCCCACTTGCAGCTCACCCTTACACAGCCAGCGCCTGTGTAAAACAACCACTGAGATCACACACGGACCCACCATCACCGTTTTGCCCATCTGCTTTCTCTATTCTCTGTTTCCACAGTTCTCTGGAGCACTAGGAAAAGAGATGGGCTTCATCTGCTTTGTATTCCCTCTGGTTGTCTCATTTGCCAGAGCCTACAAAGAGCTAAAAATCAACAAAAACCAGTTGCACAGTTGAGTTTCCAATGCCACCCCTTGAATTCAGGGTATCAGTTTCATAAGCAAAAGCAGTGCAAACTCCAAGTCAGCCCAAGGCACACAGATATCTTGTATTTCCTACAACCAGCCTTCCTTTTCATTGCTAGATCGAGACAGTTTCAGTATTTCAGAGAAGCCAGAAGTCTTATCATTAGAAAATCAGTTTACATGTTCATTTCTTTCAGTCCCTTGTTTATACATCTGAGCAAGGTAAAACCCAACACTGGTCATGCCACAAACATGGCAGTGACATGTCCAATATATAATTTAATTTGCATTCTTCAATAGTAATTTTTGAAGTCCTTTTGTTCATTAACTTGTTGCTCAGGCCAGGCACCTCATCAAACCCACAAACCTGCCACAACACCAAGCACACAACAATGGCTGCAGGGTTTAGCCCAATTTTCACTCTAGATCCAGCTTTTTATCTGCAGCTCTTTTATACTCAGTGTTGCAGCTGCACAGGCCCAAAGCCCTGAACACAGGATGACACACACAGCCAACATTGCCCAACCCCATTTACACCTTTCTTTCTACTCAATTTGTATTCTAGACCTTTCCAAGTCACCTTTAGATTGCTTATATGAGGCTGATTTTTGCTACCTCTCACCAGGAGGCAGAGGGTTGTGGTCACTCTTTAAATACATGAATATACATCTATAGACATACATTTCCATTATCTCCTTCTGGTATCATGGGAGAAACACCTGTGCATTCTGCCACCAATACACTGAGAATCTAGCAAAGGCACCAGCTGCATTCTAAAAGCATTAACACCTCCAAAACACTGAATTTTGTGTATTTGTGGTAGATCAAAAGTGCTGAGAATCATGTGCTTCTGAACTGTGAACCAGACTATCCAAATCTTAATCCCATCCCTTATCAGTTGGTGATGTGGAAGTGCTTACTGAATTTTCATTTCCTAGGTGCAGAAATGGGTGCACAGAGAGGTGTTACCTTCAGGGACAGGATAGAAATCAGTCCTTTCCAACACAGCTCAGCAGAGAAATCAACCCCAACCCCAAAACCTGCCCATTCCATGCAGTAGAGCAGAATACACTGATTTGGAATTTGGAGCTCCAGTTTGGAGTCTGCAGGTAGTTAAATGAGCATGTTTATAAGTGAATTGAATACAGCAGGAAGAGGAATTTTTGGGTGGAAACTCTACCCTGCTTCCATCCTTAGGACAGATGGAGGAAAAGCTTCCTTTGACAAGGCACTCTGGAGAAGATGAACAGCCCAGTTGTGCCAAGCTGTGTTCTGGGTGGGCTCCTTTCTCCAAGGATAAGGGAAAGAGCTGAACCTACAGCTGGATGGCATTCAGAGCAAGTGAGCACAAGCTCTTGCTTAAATTATTGAGATGCTTTTGTCCAGTCCTTCACTTCAAACTATTTCATAACTTGTGTTAGGAATTGTCTTCAGGTGTTCAGCTCTCAAATCAGTTCCACAGACATTTTTCTAAGAGTAATGTCACACCAGAGCTCAGCAGCAGACTGGAAGGCAGGTGTAGCAAGGAAGGAAGGGCTTACATGACTTTTGCTGAGGTAATTCAACATAGCTCCAATTGTCATTTTATTTAGATGATGAAAACCAAAGTATATCAATATACTGATATGCTGAATTCTACTAATATTCCATCACATAATTAGTAAAAATAACATATTTGCTGTTCTGAAAATGTACTGATTATCTTGTCCCCAACAATCCACCTCATACTCGACTCCAGGAAATTCAGCATTATGCTTCTGTCCCATTTTCCCTATTCCAGATGAATAGTCCCACAAGTATCTTGTAACAGGTCAGCTTTAAGTGAATGCCTCATCAGAATAAGTCAACAGATACCTGTAAAATCTTCAACAAATGTCTGCATAAAACTTTAGTTCTTTGTATTTCAAAAAGAGTCAAAATCAATCTAAGATGTACTTTGAAATGCCAGAATTCAAGCAGCACAGGTGACATTAACTAAGCTGAGGTGTTCAGTAGTTGAAAAAGTACTTGCAGAAAACAAACTGATATAGGTAAGAATGTTCTTATTTTAAATTCAAGATAAGTTTTCCTGTCCAAAATATTGAAAGCAACTTACTAATAGTGCCAAGAAGTCCCCTCTATACATCTTCAGCTGCTACTGCAGGGTTTTTTTCAGACTTGTACATACATTTGGTACTGACAGTGTATAAATACAACAAACAGGTCACCTTCCAAAGTGACTTGAGCCTTTTCACTGTGTGTGCAGCTCTTCCCAAGTTACACAGCCCAAGAGAGCAAGTTATGCCCTCAGCACTTCTGCCACAGCCATCTTGTGTTTAGCCAAGAATTGTGTGGTATTCTAGGAAGTTCTCATGATCTCAAAATTCTACATGAAAATATAAGCAAACATTCAGCTTCTCATCCAGTCAAAAAGAGAGATTTTAATACACAAGGTTCAAACTTACAACTCCCATGTAGCTACAGAGTAACCAGGCTCCTCCTATGTAGAAAACAACTTTTGACAGCCCCAATATGGAGTGCTAATACATCCTTGTCATAAAAGGAATCAATACAAAATAAATGTGTTAATGAGCTTCAAATTCAAATGATTTCCAGCACTTCAATAGAATAGGTCTGAGATTCTCTCAGGTGGTTCAGTCTTTGTAATTCCCGCAAACTTCCCTCAATCTTGTTGAGTTCTGAGTAGAACCGTACCTGAAAGGAAGAAAACAGAGATATTTATAATAAAATATAATCTCCCTTTCTTTTTGTACATCATCATACTGTGGAATTATCTCTTGTTCTGCACAGCTTAAGATATTTAACCAAATAAATATTTGGTTTATTTGAAATCCAAATGACACAGAGGCAACTGCAATTCAAGCTCAGGAAGGAGCACACAGAGGACAGACATGATTTGATTCACTGTATAATTTGTTGCTGTCTGTCCCCCCCGTTCTCAACATCTATCTTCTGAATCCAACAGAAAATCAAAGAATTATCCCAGAAGATGCAACTTACTTGGGCTCTCACAAACTTATGCAGGCTTGAAAGCAAGTCCTTTGCTTCTGGAAGCATCACCATGACAGTGAACTGAGCATCAAGCAACAGGCACATCCAATCCATGATCTGAGGAGAAACAAAAAGTCCACTTACACTTCCCAGTCTGGAAATAACACATTTGGCTTTAAAAGCTGAACTCTGAGACAATCACTTCTACTGCAAAATGCATGGGCTCACATGTTCAGGCATATTTTAAGGAATATTTGCATTTTGATTGTTAAAGTGTTACATCTGACTTCATAGAGGTTACATTGATGGACAGCTCTTGGTAGAATGAATGCAGGTGTCAGCTGATTTTAGATATTCCCAACTTTTCACAGTTACACACCCCAGAAAGAGAAGGAAGCACCACTCTTACAATGAGCTGCTCACCTGGTTTATTATGGGATAGAATGAGCTGCTCACCTGATTTATTATGGGATAGAATGAGCTCCTCACCTGATTTATTATGGGATAGAATGAGCTGCTCACCTGGTTTATTATGGGATAGAATGAGCTGCTCACCTGGTTTATTATGGGATAGAATGAGCTGCTCACCTGGTTTATTGTGGGAGAGCGTATTCCAGGAAGTGTGGTGTTCACTTTTTCACTGCATTTCACATACAGGTAATATAAATACCTGAGAAATAGCTGAAAGTAGAAAAGTCAGAACATTTGTAAAGGACAAACATTTAATAGACCAAGAGGTTTGTATTACCATTTGGACATGGTAATATTCATAAGGATTTTTTAAATTTTGTTTTTTGATTTTGAATGCAACATAGATGCCTGTATACTACACATTAAAAACAAGTTTTATGGTTCTCTTACACCACCCATAGCTGGATGTTTGAAAATTCCCAGCAATATTCAGTGTAAATTACATTCAGGGGTAATCACTGTTCCAGGAAATGTGACACAGATGAGATCAGCTTTGTTTTGATGTGAGGGGTTTTTCTAAAATCACTGGAAAATCACACATATGCTCAGGTACACACAGTTCTTGAAGTTGTATTTCAGATTCTGAGAAACAGGGGAGTTTGGTGGGGTTTTTTCCTAAACTGAGGTGATCTAGATTTGTATTACATTTGGGATTATACAGAGTTTTTTCCCCTCATATTTTCTAATCTTCTGTTTCTAATAGGACTGACTAAATTACTGTGTCTTTCTCCTTTCTTAAAAAAACATCTAAATCAAGGGAAGGTATTATTACTTGTATTACTTGCTAACAGAATATGAACTTTTTCCAGGTATGCTGGGTCATAAAGAGAGTTTCTTACTTACATCTTCTAAAATAAGCCAGGACTAGAAATATCAAGAAAATTACGTAAGTATATGAAAAAATGTGATATTCCTTAATATTAAATCTTATTAGGCATCCTAATTTCGTTTTCATGCATTAGTTTGTTATTCAGACTCCTGAAAGAATGGTGAATTTCTCATATACAATAGAGAAAAATCTTTTCCCTTTCCTTCACCACAGAATAAGTGTTTTTATACATTTTAAGGTTAAAATACTTACAATAGCTTGTTGAGCTGGAAGGTTTTTCAGGTGAGGCAAAAGAAATGTTTCAGTGTAAGCTGAATGGAGAACAGCATTTCTGTGTAGTGCTATTAAGGGAATAACACTGCAGGAAAAATAGCAGTTTCTTCAAACCAGAGTGAATTCTAAAGAAAATATTTCTCCATGTTTTTGAGGGAAGTTCTATTTGAATCTTATTTCTATAATGAAATATCTACAGAAACTGAATCATTGCAATAGATTTAACTTGCACAGTTCTGTCCACCACAAGAGTGTAACTGCCTGATGTGCTTTAACAGGCAAATATCCAAAGCACTGATACCTTTGCTCTTAAGTAGAGAAAAATCATTGCAAAATGTAATAAAACTAAGTTTGAATTGGTGTAGATACAGTCTAAAAGCTAAATATTTCTATTTCTATTTAAACAGTTTTTCTACTGAGTAGGAACAGCTCTTAGGAGAACTCAGACTCTGAGCAGGAACTGAGGTTGTGCCTTTGGCAATGGCAAACACAAACACCCACAGCACGTGCAGAGCTCTGCCTGCCCCTCCCTGTCACACACAGCTTTTATGGAAAATCCTTTCCTTAGGATTTTTCCTCCTGAGAAGCTGAGAGGCCTCAGGAACAAAATGTAAACATTGATTATCTGCTATTTTAGAATGCAACAGGGGGATCTGTGATTGGTCCATGTGGTTGTTTCTGATTAAAGGCCAATCACAGTCAGCTGGCTCGGACTCTCTGAGACACAAACCTTTGTTATCATTCTTTCTTTTTCTATTCTTAGCCAGCCTTCTGCTGAAGTCCTTTCTTCTACTCTTTTAGTATATTTTTAATATAATATATACCATAAAATAATAAATCAGCCTTCTGAAACATGGAGTCAGATCCCCAGACCCCTGTGAACACCATCACACATCCCCACAGAGGATACAGCAGCGCTGCCTTCTGAAGCCCAACAGGGCAGGATTCACCATCACTCTGCCCTTCCTCTGGCATTTTGGTATCACACATGTCCTGGTCCATCTCTTCACTGAAACCATTTTCTACAATTTCAGTCTTAACTTCCATGTCATTGCATTCAACATCAATGTAACAGATGGCAGAATCCAGGTTTACCTCTACACTTTTGAGATGGTCTTCACTTGTGCTGTAGAAAAAAAATTCAGACATTTAACACTTTTAATTATTAGCTTTAAAATCAGCAATGTTATCAACACATATAATAAATTCTATGAAGCTTATTATGAAAACAAAACCAGACTCAAATTTAGTGAAGAAAAAAAGGAAAGACTGATTTGGAGTTACCTTAAAAATGCTTTCAGGCAAGCATAAGTGATTTCTTCAGGAATATCTGGAAACCGTTCTAGGCAGACCTGTAAGAGCTGCAGGTCTTTTTGCTCCAAAGCAACAGCCATTAAATCTGGACATAAACTGTAAGAATATGAAATTAATAAGTTGCACAGTCCACACTGAGAACTACACTTTAGGTAGTAGTAGTAATCTTCCTCCCCAGATGGAATTTTATGTAAAACACCAACAAGAAAATAAACATCTTTGGTACTAAATTCTGATAATTCAAGAGCAGCTTATAAATGTTTTATTTCTACTTTTTTTTTTTAATTTTATAAATTATTCCTTACACTTTAAAAAATGCAGAGTCATTACCTGTAGGACAAGTCCCGGGTTTCAACGATCTCCTGCAGCAAACTTTGAGGGTAGAACTTTGGATTTTTTTTACACCTGTCTATAAGGGTAGTGACCACACAGCCAATGGCAGCTTGCACATCTACGGTCGGTGCTCTTGCTATTAGTTTTTTCACTTCAATTTCCACCACATAATTAGGAGTATCCTGGAAAAGACAAATACTGTGCAACTCAGAAGTACATGGCACATGTTTGACAACTACCCTGGCATTAATTAGAAGGTGGCATTAAGTAGAAGCAGATCTATTTTGGAATTCAAGTTACAAAAATTTACAGAAATCCCTCAGCACTCTGTGTTTGATAGGATAGATTCTCTCAAGCATGAAGGAGCTAAATGAGGAGGTTCCTCACTCTGAACTCAGGCAAGCTCATTAATCACCTGTTCCATCAGTGACAACACCAGGTGAGCTGTAGATAGGTTTTCCTTCCTGTGTGAGCTATCACAGCACTTGCAGCAAGTTCTAGAAAGGAACTAAAGAGCTTTTTGCTGAATTTACAGTGGAATTCCTGACAATTCCTCCATCTTCCTATGGCCAAAATGCCTTCAACAAAATTAAGGCCATAAATAAGAACCTAAACAAGCAAAGTTCAGATTAAATATCCTCACTTATTTACTGTAACAGACTGTCATTAATAATGAACAAATTTGTGCAAGTTTCCAGAACTCAGCTGTTATAAGCCATGTACAGTTATCAAAATACACTCCTGTGACAAAACTCAATTTCATCATTTCCAAATGCACAAAAATGATAATAACAATATCCTTCATCTCACCTGCTCAAGGCAGCTTGGTCACCCTGATATGTAGAAAGAGATAATAGCTAAAGAGACACCTAGAATATTCTGAGAGTGTCTAAGCACTACTTGAGGATATTTGGGTTACTTACTTTGAGTCTCATTAAGAGCTGCTCAATTGATAAGGGCCCTGATTGTCCAGTGCTCCTGTTTGATCTTAACTGTGGTGAAGAAAAACACAGAGTTATTATTCAGCTCCAAAGTATTTAAGGATTTCAAGCAAAATAAAAGGACACTTAATGTGTCAATTTATTGTCCAGATTATAATTACTAACTCTAATTCCAGAAACAATCAGTAAGAGATGAAGTGAAATTTCTTTCTGCTGCAACACCTAAGAGCAGCAGCATGGGGAAGAGACAAGGCAAACAACAAGCCCAATGCTGACTCACATTCATTCTGGACTCTGCTTTCAGAGCTACAGACTCCTGGGACTCCAGGGGAGCCACCAGCTCCTCCTCTTCCAGGGTATTCCAGTTCACAAACGGGGACATATCTGGGAACACACAAACGAAACTGCATGAAGGTAACACTTGCAGCACATTTATTCCAGTATGAATATTGCATCAACTTCTTATGCTAATAGATACTTTCTAAACTATAATGCCAGGGATTTTATGCCAAGAAAGTTGCCAGTTTTATTTCAGCAGTGGGTAATTTTATGAGGTTTTTTTTTATACTGTTCCTCCATTTTGCCTCTGGGAGCAAGAGAAGAAAGTTATTACACAATTTATAATTTATCCTGAGCATTGCTTGCAATGTTTTACCACTGCAGGGTTTAAAACTACTGTGACAGGACAATTTTAAACTGAACTTCACAAACTAAGGTTTGACATTGCCCTATCCAACCACAAACTCTTTGAAAATACTTCTTAGGGAACAGCATTTCACTTTGTTCTCAGTGTTCATCACCAGCATTCCAGTGTTCTCAGTGACTCCAGGATCTGAAATGACAACCCAGGCTAAGAGAAGCCACAATAAACTCAGACATTTGTGTGCTTTGGTGTTCCCTGCAGCAGGAAATTTAACAGCCAGGAACACAGGACAGTGTGAAGTTGCTTCAAGCTGTTTAGATTCAATGAATTAATTTTATAGGACTATGTTAAAATAATTTTTATATAATTTCAGACATCTTCCTTTTGCAAGGTCTTTTCACTGTAATTGTTAAAAAAAAATAATCTTACCAAGGCTTTGACTGTCCTTGAGCTTTCCCACAGCAGCTGCCAAGGATGATGTTTCACGTTTGTACATAATTACAGTCAGCACTTTCCCATGAATTAGAAAAAATTTTTCCTCATAACACCACAACTGCAAAATATTAAAATGTATCATAAATGAGATAAGCAGCAAAGTGAGTTCCTGCCCTGATGTGTAACTCCTTACTGTAAGCTTCAACTGGAAGTCAGTGATCTGATTATTTTAAATTATTTGTGGTAGGTTTAACATCTGTTAGCAAACCTTCATTAATTGCTGATTTTAAATACAGACATTACAAATGCTGAGTATTTTTCCAGGGGTGTCCTAAAATATAGAGGGCAATAATGCTGCTCCAAAGCATGAAGTCCTCTGAAAATTTAACATTTTAAGTTTCCTCTTGTGCAATTTTAAGACAACAGCAGTCAGCTGCTCTGGTTCACTAGTGCATTTATTCCTTAGGTGCCATTTCACCTATCTGACTCTGGAATAGCTGGAAGTGCTGCTCAGGTGTTCACAGAATCATTTGGGCCTTCAACTGCAAATTGCCTGAACAGAACAGACACTGCTGGGGTTTGTGCTCAGTGATTTCATTCACACCAAATAATTATGATAATGAGTAGTGATAAAGCACTAAATGGTCACAGAAATTCCTACAGGCACCACTCTCCCAATGAATATTCTGACAGAAAGTGCTCAGTAACTGCTCAGCATCAATTTTGCTGCACAAGTTGCAATTCCTGCTCCCCCAGCAGCAGCAGAGCTGTGCAGCCCAGCACTCCCTGCCCTGCCAAAAGCACAAAGGAGCCAAAGCCAGGGCTGAGCCTCACCTGGCCACTGGTCCCCCGGGGCAGATCCTTGCAGGTCTGCAACGTCTGGAATTTTGTATTCCAGATGGTCAGGAACTCTGAGGGAAGCAACAGATGGATGAGACCAAAAATCAGCACAACCACCACATTTGCCTTTGCTACTTTCAGTCACAAACTCTGGAGGAAACAGAAATAACTGTTTCAAAAGAGCTCAGGCAGATTTAGCATTAGGATTTAATTACATCACTCAGGTTAAATCTCAATTCAGAGAAATGTTGGGTTTCCAGTAAGAGCTTTAAAGCAGAGGCTGGGACAAGAGAGACAGCACAGCTTTCACACCCAGGGCTTTCCCAAGGAAATTTTAGACCTTTTAATAGCTTAATATGATTTTTCAAGTTACCTTTGGGCTTTCTCCCAGGATCAGGGATATTGCCCAACACTGCAATGTGGTCTTTGTCCAGGACAACTAAAGATGTTCCTTTCAGAGCAGCTCCAGATACTGAAAGTTTTAGTAGTAGTGACTTGGACAAAATTTCTTCTTCTTTTTCCTCTTCTTCTACAGTATCTTGCTGTAGAGGTATCAGAACCTGATACACACAATGATTGGTATCTGTCAAAAGAAAAATAATAATCACTCTTTTACGAAGTTTTTTTGTGGAAAAAACCTGTTTGATATCATTTGGCAAAAGAACATTAAAAAAACCCCAATATCCAGTGAATGCTGAAAGAAGAATTAATGCAGGATATTTAAAGGACTTTTTATAATCCAAAGCAGCAAAATAAAAATACAGCAATGAAGGTGCAGTGAGATCTGCAGGGTACAAGTGATCACAGGCAGGAACACTTGGTCTTTGCAACCATTAAAGTACCAGGAATCTTTCATTACTACTTGTAGCTATTTTAGAAAGCTTAAAAACCTAAAAATATTAAACAGCATTTCATAAATATGACCATTTAATGTCCTTTCATACAATTCTTTGCTTCATTATCACAACCCATGAACAAATACAACTTACACAAACACAGAAGTGTGACAGTTTGGTTTGTAATGTGTGCTGTGAAACACAGTGGCCTGGCTAATTTCTGTTGTTCAAGCTTGTATTTGTGTAGACTGTTCAGCTTAGGCTTCTGTACATAGACAAAAAAATCCTTATCCTAAAATTAAAAAAAAGAAAAGAAAGTTTTTCCTTAATTTACACAAAGAAGATATAACAGAAATTCAGATATCAGTACTGCTTAACTTTGGATGTTGTGCAAAATTAGGAAATTGTGTTTTCTATAGGACATACAGAATTATTTGTAGTAGTCTGCAGACTAACAAGTAAAGAAAATTCTTATTTGATGTAACAAATGGATATACAGGAAGAAGCATTTGCATAAAGACAGATTCAGGTATAATTCTTTTTTAAAAAACATCCATCCTATTCAATAGATCTTCACAATGAGCAATGAAGAGTCACTCAATGTCCACTGTACTTCATTTTATTAATTGTTCTGTGCAGTTCTGAGAGCCCAGCTCTCAGGCCTGAATGCAACACAACTTCCATTTAAACCAGGACAATGATTCTACTAAAAGCTTTAAAAATCAAATGAAACCAGTGATAGATTTTGATAAAAGCACTCAGCTCTCCTGCTAGGAGAGTTTTTAAAATAAAAAATATTTAACTCACTTTCTGAGTAATGAAAATTAAGACAGGTTCTTGGCCTTCCATAAAAGCTCCACTCCACCTAAAACCAGAAAGCTGGATGAACATCCTCCAAATTCCAGGTTTATACAGAAAGTCATAGCACTATATACCAGGCACCTTCTAATTTTAGAATTCATCTAGTGAATAAATAACCCCAAGAGTTTAAAACCCAAGTGTTGGAAGAAAACACCCAACTCCATGATCTCAGTCTTTGATTTTCCCCAATTTTCCCAGTCCCAGTCAATTCCAAGAATTGAGCAGGACCCCCCAGAGAGGCCCCACTGACCTGATGGTCTCAGCTGAGATGAGGTTCTCGATCTCCTGCTGAGGAGCCTCCAGCAGCACATCCAGGGTCCGGACCCCCCCTCCCCTGAACAGCACCAGGGTCCCCCCCTGGGGCAGGGAGTGGATCCTGTACACATCTGCTGAGAGCTGCAACAACAAAAATCTCAGTTCTCTGCTGCACAGCCCTGAAAACTGAGTGATTAGTGCATTATTCTCATTTTTGCCAATAAACTTTTTAACAGAAAAATTATGAAGCTTTAAGATTCTTGATAATGTAGATCTGAATGTTGTTGATTTGCTGAAATGCCATAAATAATGTAAATCACAACCCAAAAAAGGCCAGGAAAATGTCCTGATGAGCATCACATCCCTGAATCACATCACAAAATACAGGACAGGGTCAGGAGGTGACACAACTGCTCTACAGCAACACACAGAGTGATGTTTAACACATCAACCAGCAGAACATGGAGATCTGCAACTGAACACAATTCAGCATCTTCAGAAAGTCCTCAGAAATGCTGGCCTTGGTATAAAAATCACTTCAGGAGAAATATTCTGATGCTCAAGTCAGTGCAAGTGGATTCCTTGCAATACTCCACAACATCATGAAGCACAAGTTCAGCTAAAATGTAACATGGCCAATACTATGAAAATTGGAGCAGTTTTTCCCTCCACCAGGATCCAAAACACAAAAGAGAACACCTGAAGGACACTTACTGTTGCTTTAAAGGCTTTGTCCAAGTTAAGGTCTTCATTCTTCCATATTCTTAAAACCTTTAAGAGAAGCATCATTTTCAGGTTAAACAGTAACACACAAACTTCTCAGCACTCAAAACACCAGAAACTGCAACAGGAGGAAACAACAGGGAGCATTCAGGGCAACCTGAGGGGGAACTGCCCCAGGGAGAAACCAAGCACAGAAATCCTGAGTTGGAAAGAAAGGACAGGAGAGAATAAAGAAAAAGACACAGCAGAACTCTGAATTAAAGTAGATCAGAGTGATGGAGACAGGTGAGATACAGATTTTCACAAGCAATGCAAGGCCAGGAGTGATATTTCACAACAATGAAAAGCCAAAGGCTCAGCATGATCCAAGCAAATACTCCATAAACACAAGAGAAACTTTGAACTGTGAAACAAGAGCAGGAAAACAAGGATGGGGGTGTGAGCTATTGGAACCATTCCAGTACCACAAAGCTGTAAATGTCAGCCAGGCTGCAAGAGGAGAAGTAACTCATCCTCAGGGAGTGCAGCAGCAGGCACAGAGCATCTCCTGTGTCCAAGGCCACCAGCCCATGGTGCTCAGCCAGAACCTGCTCATGGCACTGTGCAAACCCAGGGCACCAGGAATATTTCTGTGTCTGCTCTGGGATGCCCTCACCCCCAGGGCAGCACTGACTTTGACCCTCATTCATGGAGAAAGCATCCACAAAAGTGTGAAATAGATTATAGAGAGTGGTGTAGGTGAATCACTTGGTGAGAAATTGATGGTTTGGGGTTTTTAGTATGTTGTGGATGGAAGTAAGATGGAGGGCACAGGGTGTCATCCTGGGTTTCTTCTTCATGGATTTGGGTGGCATTTTGTAATTGGGTGGAAAAGTCTGCACTGGGGGCTCTTTGGGATCAGTTACTGGGTTAAAAGGGAAAATAATCCAGGTGTTAGCTCTTAATTGGACAGTTTAGTCTTAAAAGACCTTGGAACAAGAGATTGTTAGCCACTTTGTGCCTTCTAATGAAAAGCTGCCAAAGTCACAGTGGTGAGACTGTTTTAGTGATAAGAAACAATAAACATTTGAGTTCAAATATGAATTACTGTCTCGAGTGCCTTCAGTCCAGACCCAGACAAACCCACAACTGGTACCCCCACACATCACCATTGTGCCAGGGGCTCCCCACACTGCCAACCAGAAATGTCCCACTGCCAATTTGTTCCTATCTACATCCCTCAGGAGGATCCCCCAACTCCCTTTTCCCCCTAGAGAAGATGAAGGCTCTCACCTTGTCATCATGAACTGCAATGTACTCGTGGGTTTCAAAGTTGCACACGACAGGACAGGTGAGGATCTGCCCATGTTTGACTGACCAACAGCCCAGGGGCTTCTGATCCGAAATCTGGAGTGAGAACAAGGACAGTGCAAGTCAAATGGAACATGTGAAACACTGTGGGCACTTCTCCATGACAGAAAGGAAATGAGAGGCAGCCACATCTGACCTGAATTAGAATATTAAAATATGGAAACTGCTTTACTCAGAAATTCCTCTTGAACATACCTGTTTCCACCTCTACCACCAACATTTTCAAAATAACAGGAAAGAGCTCTCCATAAATGAGATTTCTTTTCATGTAAGAAATAACTTTGACCTGTCACAGTCTGAAGGGTTTATGCCATGAAGCACAGGTACAAGGCATGGCTTCTTCAAAGGGCAAATATTCATTTTATCACTAGTGTCATTTGTATTTACTGACTAATACAATCACACACAGACTTGTGCTTTTTCTCTTCTATTTCAAGGTGAGTTATTGAGACCAAGAGCAGTGGATTTTGCAGTCTGAACTCCTGCTCTGTGTAATTCACAGCCAGGACACTGAGCCCCTCTCCTCCCTGCAGAGTACACTGGGTGTATTTACAGCACTGTGTATTTACAACAAGTTGTGTGGTCACAGATGGTCTTGGCAGTGGGAATAAACAACCCAAAGGAGGTTGTATCATCAACCCACTTAGATTATGGAATCGTTTGGGTTGGAAGGGACTTTAGATCACCAAGTCCCACTCCCTGCCATGGCAGGGACACTTCCACTGTCCCAGGCTGCTCCAAGCCCCGTCCAACCGGGCCATGGGCACTGCCAGGGATCCAGGGGCAGCCCCAGCTGCTCTGGGCACCCTGTGCCTGCCCACCCTCACAGGGAACGATTTCTTCCCAATATCTAAACTAAACCTACTCTCTGTCAGTTTAAATCCATTCCTGCTTGTCCTATCACTACAATCCCCAACATCGTGTATGTGATAGCCAACTAAACACAGAAACTCAAATACTCGCTTTAAAGTTTCTTATTATGCTCTACTGAATAACAGAGACCAGAACACATACTGAGACCAGAACACATTTTCATTTTCAGGCGCTGCGAACTAAAGCCCTCCTGCTGCCCGCAGGACGGCAGCTGACACCGAGCTGACAGCGCAGGACCTGGCACTGCAGGGACACGCACCTGTGGCTTCGGGAAGGTGTTTTGGGACGGGGAAGGGACAGAAAATATCAGCAAAAGGAGAAATACGCCAACAAGCGCCCGAGCCGCCCGGCGTTCCCGAGCAAAGGGAGCGCAGGGGGCAGAGCATGGCCGGGCCGGGCGGGCACCGCTCCCGGGCTGGAGCCAGTCCAGCAGTGGGAATAAACAACGGGGATGGCGGCGGGGACAGCGGGGCCTGGCCCGGACAGCCGGGAGAGTGGGAATACGGGAAACGGCGCGGCCCCGGCCCTGCCCGGGACACCCCCCATGCCGAGGCTGCCCCCCGAGCACGCGCGCGCGGTACCTTGAAGAGCGTGGCGGCCCGGCCGCGCTCGGTGAGCAGCACGAGGTCGCTGCCCGGGCCCGGCTCCAGGCACAGCCCGGGGTCGAGTCCGGAGCCGGAGCCGCCGCCGCCGGGGCCCGGCCCGCGCAGCGTGAAGCTCTCGCACAGCTCCGCCATCTTGGCCAGACCCTGCTCTCGCGAGAATTGGCGCGGCGCGCGCGCCCCCGCGTGACCCGGGGCGGGGCCGGCCGAGGTCGGGACGGGCCCGGCGCTGTCGCGACAGGGAGCGCGCGCGGCTCTGGTGAGGCGCTGCCCGGCCGGGCCTCGCCTGCCCCGAGCCGCTGAGGGCAGCTCCGACTGAGGGCTGCGGGCCCCGGCTGAGGGCTGCGGGCCCCTGCGCTCCCAAGGTGTTCGGTGCTCTAAGTACTGTGAGAGCTGCGGAGAACGATGGCAGCTGTCCTGGGGACAGCGCCCCACAGCGGGACGCTCCGAGGGCCGCGGGCACTGCCCTCACTCGGCTGTCCCCGCCGCTGTCCGATGGCTGTCCCCATCGCTCCCGCGGCGTTCCCACGGCAAGGCCGGCTGTATGCTAATGAGGGCGCAGATTGACGCTAATGAATGGGTCACGTGCACGCCGACGAGCGGGGTCACGTCTCTGGGAATGGAGGTCACGTGTATGCTAATGAGGCGGTCACGTGCGCGCTAATGTGCCCGGGGCCGGGCGCTGAGGGCTCCGCTGGGGCTGAGGGTGCGCGCGGGCCCCGCTGGGCTGGGGCTGTCCCGGGCAGCGGCCCCGCCCGTGCCAGTGCCCTGTGAGGTACTGAGGGGGGATTGTCCCCCGGGCAGCGGCACGGGTGGGGATTGTCCCTTGGGCAGTGTCACTGGGGGTGGGGATTGTCCCCAGGGCAGTGTCACTGGGGGTGGGGATTGTCCCCAGGGCGGTGTCACTGGGGGCGGGATTGTCCCCTCCGCAGCACAGGGGGGATTGTCCCCAGGGCAGTGTCACTCGAGGGTTTGATTGTCCCCAGGGCAGCGCAGCCGGAGGGTCCCGTTCGGGATTTCACCGGGCTGTGTTTCCCTGTTTGGGATGTTGAACGTGTGCAGATCTCAGCCCTGCCCGAGACCAGGAGCCCAGGCTGTGGAAGGTCAGTGCGGGTCCCTGGGGTCACTGTCCCCACCCGCTCGGGCACTCCCGGCTCCGGTGGCACGGCCGGGCACGGTGACCCAGCGGCTGCCTAGGTGTCCCGGGGCTGCTCGGGCTCTGTGCCCTTTGAGCCGTCCCATTTCCAGTTTAAAACATTTCCAGGGCCCTCTTTGTTCCCCTGCCCTGTCCCACGCTGCCCGGAAGCTTTTCCCTCCTGAATGAGCGCTGCCGTTCCTCTGGAGCAGGGAAAGCTCCGTTTCCATGGAGGAAGCGAAGTCTCTGTGTAAAAGCTTATAAAGAACCGTTGTGCGAGGGAAACTTCTGGTGAGCAAAACTAACTGACTTGGAGACAAGCCTGAGAGCATTCGAGTGGTCTCTTTTCCAGTCTTTTCCAGTTATTTGGTACAGCACTGAGCTGCCAAACCCTGCATAAAGAATTAGATTCCCCAATGAAAAACTTCCTTGTCAACCAAATGGTCATTTACAAGTGAATGGGCTAATGCCAGGCTGATGGGGCACCAGCCCCGGTAAAACCTTTACAGACGTGGGGCGCAACAGAACCCAGGACAGGCTGTAAGTGCTTAAATTTTCCTCACAAAGCTAATTCTTTGTGCTGTTTAATTTTGAGGAAGTGACTTGCAGAGCTGGGGTAAAAATGTCAATGCTACATGTTAGTGAGGAGGTTTCTGCCTACAGGAGACCCAGTAAAGCAAACAGCTACTGTTGTAAAGAATAGTTGTTGGTAGTTTATTTACAACAAAATGCAACGAAAAATACAATATTAAAAATAATAAATAACTTGGAAAAAACCAGAAACTAAGTGATATGAGAAAAATGACAGTCAAAGTCTCCTGCTGAGCCTTGCACTGTTGAACGTGCAGAGCAAATCAAGACTTGGTCCTTCTCTGACGGTGGTGATGCTTTGCCTGATGTTGCCATCAGTGCTCTAAATAAGAGAAATTAATTACTGGACATAACAGAATCACGTGGAATTATCACAGAAATGAAAGAAACCAATAAAACCTGCTTTAGTGACACCACAAAACTACAGGAGATCATAATTCAATGACCATGCTGTTCATTTAAAGCAAAACATTGTTAGACTTATTTAGCAATTTTAACTTACACATAGAAAACCAAGTCCAAACAATGGCAACAGAAAATCTCCTATTGACAAGATTTTGAATTCTCTCTTACTGCACTCACTAATTCATAAAAAGCATATACATTTGGCTTATTTCAAAGGATAACACATTGTTTTGAAGTTATAGTGCAGCAAGCTTCAAAGCAGTTTTAGCAAAGTCTAGCGGTCTTGTTACAAACTGAAATTCAAGGAACAAATATTTCAGTTTCAAAGTCTCTACAGCAGCAATTAATGCAAATTGGCTACTAGATGTCACAAAATCACCTTCCAGAATAATCAAAAAAGCCAAAGAACAAGGTCAAAGAGTTTCTTTCCATAGTATTTATCCAGTCCTTTACAAAATTAACCATTACATTCATAAGAAATCCCATTAAGTACATGTTTCAGGAACAACTTTTGTGGGTCCTCCCTTTTTGATTTTTTAGGAGATGGACCCTTCTGAAGCTGCACTGAATTGCCAGTTGTTTTGTAATGATTGTTCTATCCAAAATACACAAAAGTACAAGCAAAGCCTGGAGGTTTTCATAAAAACCTGAACAAACTCATCACAGTTTTTGCTCTGAACTCTATTCTCCTTGATAAAAAATTCCTTGCCAAGTCCTAGCAGGGCTGCATCACGGGATTCTTGTCACTGTGGCAGAGGAGAGGAACACAGGCTGTGCTCACCAAGCTCTGAGGCTGCACCCAGGAAATAATCACAGCATTTATCTTTGCAAACAAAGTGAGGAACACCTGCAAAACTCTCTGTTTTAATCCTAATAAACATGTCTGAAAACACAACAGAAAGGGAAAAATCAGCACTGAAAACAACCCCCTCTCCTCAAGGTGTTACACTGAAATACTCAGACCTTCCTTCCCATTTCATTTCATTTCATGTGTGCCTGCTGGGAATATTCTAGAAAAAGCTCTCTTACCCTAAATAGCAGCCAACCAAACAGAAAAAGGCATTTAAAGATCCTGTCATTGACCAGATGGGTGATGAGTGCTGGGGACAGCAAGGCAGAACTCAGCATGATCAGTGAAAACACGAGTACTCTTATCCAAAGCAGGGGCACATTACAGAGCTTTTAATTGGCCTTGATTGGGCAGCAGCAGAGGCAGAGTGGCTGCTCCTGCCCCTGCCAGGGCTGGATCCAGGGTGGGGACACTGAAGCTGGGCACAGCAGGGAGGGTTCTGGCACTCTGACACTCCAGGGTCTGTCTCTCTCTTACATCTCCACCAGCAGATATTCACATCTGTCCTGTTCAATGATTTTCACAAATGACTTGTCCCCAAACCTACTTAATATCCTGATCAATGTATTGGAAATCAATCAGTTAAAATCAGAACAGACGGAACTGCTGTGGTCTAACAATCTGTGTCAAACCCAGATTCCCAAATGTGAATAGAAACAGTCACATGAGCACCAGGACACTGAATAGAGCTGAGCAAATTTGTCTTGGACAAATTAAAAAGCCATTGAAACAGACTTTCAGGTGGAGCAGACCTGAACTATTTCTGTATGGGCCAAAGTCAGGCAATGAGAAAAGAACTAAACAATGTTTTATGTTTTTAAAGGTTTCCCTTTGCTGGCAACGTTCCAATCTTGACACTAAATCAATAATTACAATAAAAAATTACACATGATCCTATGATTCCATAACGTGCACCCTGGTTAAGATGAAATCATAAACCAGTGTAGGAAAGTTGTGTTTGCAGTATCACAGCAGCTTCTTTTTAAACAAAGCAGCATCACCCATCAGGTCAGCAATGAGTCAGAATTCCCAGCTCTGGAGAGAAAAGCAAAGCCAAGCATGGACAGGACATGGGAGAATGCAGGACCACAGCAAACCTGCAGAGAGCTCCTGGACATTGCTGGCTGCAGGATTTTCACTATCAGACAAGTGAACACTTGTTTCAGTGCAGGTTGGCAGTGAAATTGCTGCTGCTCCTAAAACCTCTCCCTAAATACCTCTCATTTCACAAAACCTGTGCTGCAGCTGCAGCCAGAGAGGAGCTCAGTGCATTTCAGCCACTGTGCCCCAGGTTTGGGCACCCCCAAACTGAGTGTTCAATATTCAGGGACAGCTCAGCTCTGAGAAGTCTCTTTTTCCCTCTATCCATGAACTGTCAGTGGTGGCACAAAGTGTCACCCACTGGGATCATGGTTCAGGGAGGAGCTGTCATTCCCTGATGTCAGCAGGGGAAGGAGCTGCAGCAGCCATGGAGCAGCAGCTGCTGTGGGGGAGAGCAAAGTGTCCCACAGAGGGGGCAGCAGGAAAGGGTCTCACCCAGTTCATGCTTTGAAGAGAAGGAAGGAAGAGCCACTCCTGCCATTTATTTTTCTCCTTCTTCCACCATCTACACTTCCCTCTGGGGAACATCCTTGTCAACAATTGAATTCCTGAGATTGAGGAGTGATTTCACACACACACACCAGGAAGATCACTTCTGGTTCCTCAACATCACCCACCACTGGTTTGCTTTTTGAAGTGACTGATTTTGTCCCTTTCCCCAGTGAGGCAGTGCCTGCACCCAGCTCTGTCAGATTGTTCTGTTTAGCAGAGATTCAAGGCAGGAAAGAAAAAGGAGCCTCCTGTTTTCTTCCCTCTGCATTCAAGGTCTCCCAGCCTGACTTCTGCTCTTCTTCCAGCGAGGAAAAGACAGAATTCATTGCTTTTGCTTCTCAACTGGCACAATTCAGCTGCTTTTTCCAATGTCACAGAACACCACTGATGAACACCAACACTCTGAGCTCACAAAAGGACAGGGATAGTAAAATACATTATCTACAAGAAATAGGTGGTTCCTGTTACAAATTCTGTGCAAGGTAGAAATAGTTCAATGGCCTCAAAGTCAGTATAATTAATTACAACTGGGGCTTTGATACAGTGATATTTTAGGTTTGAAAAGATTTGTGGTTTGT